TTTTTTTTTTTATCTCTGCGCCCCACCTGCCTCATTGTCACAGCAGGGCTGCCATGTCTCCTGAAGAGATATGAAATCCCCCAGCCGACTTCACCTCACCTTGGCTCTTTGTCCAGATCTATGGTGCGAGCTTTCTCCATCTTGCCCCAGCTCACTCATGAGGGGCCTGCAGTTCCCATGATTGGCTGGGAGAAGGGCCCAGGCTCCCCAAAGCCTGGGATGGGGACCACCAGAACAAAAGCTGGGCCCTGTTAGCAAGGAAGACACGGGCATGGCAGCTGCAACGTGCATTTTAGTTGACCCATTTATAAATTGGGAAATGACACATGCAAAAAAGGATCTTCTAGCTTCTCTTAAGGAATTGGAGACTCTGGCAACCTAGGCTTCACTTTGCTGGCTGGGCTGAGTAGTGGAAGGTGGGGCCTTCTTGCCAGCAGGGAAGCACGAAGCTGCCCTCTGCCCTGCCCTGGGCTCCCCTGAGCTGGGCACCACCAGTGCCTGCTCCTCGCTGCTCTCCCACTTCTCTGGCCCCCCTGACTGCAGATTCTACCCAGCCAGCCCCACTCATTTCTGCGTGGCCTAACGGGGGATGGCCGCCATCAGAACACTTAGGCAGCTCCCACTTTTAGCTGGAGGTGTTACAGCCAGATGTGAGCTGTGCTGGGGCCACTGGCTCACCCCTGCAACCAGGCTGCTGTCACCTCTCGTTCAGATTCCTGGCCAACAGCACTTTTGTGGTCAGGTTTTAGTGGCGTCTGATTTATGTATCCCTTTCAAGTTCAGAGTCAGCTCTGGCAGGAGGATAAGCAGAGTAGAGGCATATATTCCCAGTGACTATGGGGCATACGGGGCCAGCAGCCGAATCCCCCCATATGCATGCAGGAAGGGGCCGTGCTGCCTTCCCTGGTAACCAGTGTGCTTGAGGGTTGTTGCTCACCGGTCCCTCAGTTGTGCTCCTGCTCAGCTAACACACCCTTTCCCCCTCATGTGCTTGTCCCTTCAGAAGGAGAGTAACTCCAAAACTGCCAAAAGCAAGACCCTGGCCCCAGCAGCCTCGGAGAAGAACGCCGAGGGGTCCTCAGAAAGCAGTGAGGAGNCATTTAAATAGTGCTCAGGGAAGGCCTTACAGAGGAGACGTGGTTAAAGACATGAAGACCTGAAGGAGACACAGGAGGGAACCCTGTGCCTTGTGGACAGTTGGAGGAAGGTCATTCCAGGCAGGGAGCACAGCAAGTGCCAAGGCCCTGTGGCAGATCAGAGTGTGCAGACCCTGTCCACAGGGGACCGCTGCTCCTCAGCTTGGGCCAGTTTTGTTGTGGCCAAGGGCTACCCTGTGAGGCCTGGCACCCATTGTTCAGAAGGAGCCCATATGTGAACTTTTACCTAAAATCTACTCTCTCCCTATTGGTTCAAAACTTTGAAAAGTCACAAGCCAAGTAAAGCCTGTCTGAAGCAGCCTGCACACTCTGCTTGGTAAGGTTTTTAGAAAGAAAGTGATCAAAGCCGCTGATTTTCTAGCGTGGTTGGGCCAGGCCAAGTATCTGTGACCGTTGTAAGGAAGACAAGGCCTGTAGCCACCCTGCCAAAGCCCTGAGGCCACGAGCAGAGCCCGATAACAGCAGGGCGCCAGTGAGGAGGAGGCCCAGGCCCCGGGGACCTTGCCCCCATGAGGCTAGGACAGGCTTCCCAGGAGTCCTGCTGTCGTGTGTCAAAAACTCAGGACGGTTTTCACCCTGTCCCCGCTTCACTTTTGGATTCTCCACTGACCACATCCAGGCTCCCCCATTTCCTCGCTCCCTCTGGGCCATCGCATGCTCCCTCCCCTGAGCCCAGGCAGATATGCACTGGGGCCAGCGGCTCTGGGGGTACAGCGATGGGTTGCCAGCGCTCACAGAGCTTCCTCGCTGATGGGGCAGCCCAGCCGGGGACAGGCTGTTACACCCTGTGTTGTAGGGCCGCTATGGGCACAGGACAGGAGTGTCAGGGAGAACTGCCATAAGGAACTGGTATCTGTCTGGGACCCAGAGGATGAGGCAGTGCTGGCCAGGTGAAATGGGCAGGGGGTGTGAAGGCCTCAGGAGTGAAAGTGTGGAGCTGACAGACAGGTCAGAGCAGCAGTCAAGGTGAGGAATGAGGAGAGACGCAGGGGTGTGTAGGTGGAGACCTCCCGCTAAGACCTAGGCCTTATCCTGAAGGTGTCACCAAAGGTTTTCCGGGGGAAGGGAACAGATCGCCCTTTCTCTTTCACTAGGTGAAGGCCTCGGAGAAACTTGTCCAGGTCAGACCTGCCTTAGATCCTGCCAGGGGGACTCTCGGGAAAGGGGCCACCCCAGCACCCCCTGGCAAGGCAGGGCCTGCAGCCGTCCAGACCAAGGCAGGGAGGCCGGAGGAGGACTCGGAGAGCAGCAGTGAGGAGTCGGACAGCGAGGGGGAGGCGCCAGCTTCCAAAACCCCACTTCAGGTGAGGCCTGGGGATGAGAGCCCATGCAGTGCATCCCCCCTCCCCCGCCCAAGGCCTTCTGAAGACTTGTTCTCCTGCTCAGCAAGAGCCCTGCCCCCACCCCTCACTGTGTGGTGTGGTGTGTGTGTGGTGTCCTTGGCCCTGTCTGGTCTCTAGCCTCACATCCACCCTCTGAGCTGCCTCTCTCCCCTCATTTTGTCTCGCTCGTTCTAGGCGAAGTCCT